AGGATTTGTGCCACTACTTACTGCAAGTCCTCTTCTATACATTCCATGAATTGGCCATTCTTGAATATGCCATTTTACAAAATGGTGACAAGCAAAGACCAACGAGCCTCCATCCTGCACCCCCATCTGGCTGAATGCACGGCAAAGACCATCTTCAAACGGCTTCAGATTCCTTTAGTAACCATGTACGACAACGTCAAGAGGTACAAGACGATAGGAGGACAAGCCCAAAAGTTGAAGACTGAAGAATGCAACGACAGAAAAGATCGCGAAAATTATTCTAGAAAGAATCCGCCGCCACCCTCGTAGGTCCGAGAGGAATTTGGCTCTTGAGGTTGGTATTTCTGCTCGATCTGTTGAAAAGATTGTCTCCAGCCACCTTCGACTGCACTGTTATAAGAATACAAAAGCTCACATGCGTATGAAGAAAACTAGGTTCAAAAGATGTGAGGAGCTTTTAGAGTGATTTTCGCAGGCACGGCACACCAACATCCTTTCCGCTGACGAATGTCTGTTTTCAACAAATCAATTCCTGAACACCCAAAACGGTAGGATAATAGCGGGGAGCCCTGCAAAAGCCAGCCAACATGGAGGAATTGCTCAGCGATCTGGACACCCCAAGCCGTTGATGGTTTTTGGGGCAATCACATCGGACGGCGAGACGCCCCTGACTTTCTTGGAGAAAAGGGTCAAGGTGGATAGCAAGACTAACTTAAAAGGCGTTTTGGAGAAGGAGGAACTCTCCTGAGCAAAATCCCATTTCGGCCACCGGACTTGCCCTTATCAACAGAACTCAGCTCCAGCACACAGGTCCAAGGCGGTACAGGAGTGGTACGCAACGCACTTCCCAGACTTCATCTCGTCGGATGATTGGCCCCCAAACAGTCCAGACCTAAATCCATTGGACTATTCCGTGTGGTCAGTTTTCAAGATGAAAGCCTACTCTACTAAGCATAGAAGTTTGGATGCTCCACGTGCAACCCCCGTTGAAGCATGGGAGGATTCGGACGAAGGCTATCTCCTTGCCGCCGTCGACGCATCTCCTAGAATTTCAGCTTGTATTCGCGCAAAAGAAGGCCATTTCGAGATCTAGCTTGTTGTTGTGATCTATATAGCTGTTAATAAATGCTGTTGGAGTTGTATCACGTATCGATCGATTTGACCATTTTTACAATCATATTTACCGTTGAAAGAACTTTTGCCGCGCCATGTAAAAGAGGACCGCAACTCAAAATTATTGCCTGTTTGACCAGTCCATGTGGAAGCAGAAGAGATCGGCTACGATCCTTTTCAGCCGTCATGTAGACGAATAATAATAGACTCACCTCTTCGAGTAAAGGAAAGGGAAGCGCAAATCCCAAAAACAGAGCGATTAAGACGATGCCGGTGTGCATCTGAAATGGAACCGCTACCATTAGACCTCAAGACAACCCAAAGCCTATATGGTGTGCATCCTTTCAACAAGTACACAAAGTAGAACGATAACTATGGGCTACAGCCAAGGGCACTTGCAAAGACCAGAACGATGAATGCCGAGGACACTGCTACTGCTGTGTTCCTATATGTACATATGTCCTTTAGCCGTCCGTTCAGCTAATTCATTTCTTCAGAGCCTACTGTTCAAAGAGTAAAGTACGAACATGTTCATTAATATTTAATCAGCATCAGAGGCTTACGGAGTAAAACATTCGTCGGAGTCTGCGAGTCTCAGCAGAAAGAGCACGTTTTCGCCTAGTCACGTTCATACTTCTTTCATCTATCTGCGTAGGCCGTTCTCTACCACCATTTCCTCCTGCAAAAATAGTCCAGGATGAAAAAGGGTTTCCTCTTGCTTTCTTGCCAGGATCGGAGCTGATTGGCAATAGGCAGTGATAGTGGGCAATAGGCATGTGATAGTCTACGTCTCACCTGCTTTCCATACTTCTTCGGCGACTATTCGGCAACAATAGCTCTCATCAGAAGTTTTTGCGATGGGGACAGAACTCTCTTAACTCAGACGATCACGAAAAGTGCACTCCTGCAGCCACCTTTTTTGTCTTTCATGGCATGTTTAACCAGTAGATTACAGTTTACCATTCTAGCATGACATACAGTAATCTTCTGTAGACTACTTATTGTAAACATGCCCTCTGCAATTTTCATTTCTCTCACGTCCGAAAATCGCTTCTACTGGAGGCAGATCATCCACTCTTGAACGTTTGACACTAAATTTACCATTTGATAATTACTTCTTCTCCAGATTTTTCAGTTGATTCTGGTCATGTCACCAGTCGAAGTGGCTCACAACCCAACCCAGAGCGCTAATGTGAACCTTTTCAAAGATGAGTTGTTCTTCACTCACTTGAACTGTGATGATGTCGTTCTTGAAGCTTTTGTTTGGATACTGTAATTTGTAACTAATTCCCATTTAGGCAAGTATCATAGCCAACAAAAACCCAACAACATGAATGGATAGACGTTTTATGTGACCATTGTATGTGTCAGTAAAACCCACTTGGAAGCACGAAATGACTTTCCTTGTGCCGGCAGGTGAGGAACCCTTTACCGAGCAAGCCAGCCCAGCCAGGTAATGCTCGACGGGTGGTTCGATTTTAGGGAATATTATCAAGCAAACAAGGAAGACCATAGCTTTCAGCTAATCTGCCGAGTAGGAGGTGCTTAGCTATTGCTCTTCTAAGTCCCTATTCCTACGTATCATCTGTCGATATGGTCCTACCATGAATACATGCCCATCCATATACTTTGATGTGTCACTGACACCGGCACATTCGGTCTATGCAGTCAAGGATCAGCTCGAAATGTGGTCTTCTCACTGCAGGTTAGATCCTCTACAACAGGTCCGCTCTTCCAGTCAGTCGCCTATAATTCTTTCCAACTGTCTGATTTTCCGCCCTAGATTGGTTTATTTAGTTGTTTCGGTTTGTAGGTTTTGCTTCACAGCCCCACCACCTCTTCTTTGGGGCTCCTTAAGGCTTCTCTTTAGCATCGAGCCGCATAGCGTTCCTTATAGATTAATTCGGTGTCCTTCTCAGTATGTGCCCATCACTTTACAAACATTGCTCTCTCATCTTCAACTGGGTAGGAGCCGTCAGATGACCGCCCTGACGTTCTGACATTGTCAGCGCCCTCTCTACTGTCACTCACTCAGTATCCGAAAAATCGTTTGTAATATGAAATGGAGAATCTTGTTTTGAGATAGCTTCTCCGGATGTGAGTGATGGGGACACTGTATTTGGCGGTGTTTGAAGAAACTCTTAAAAGTCGCAGAAAAATGAGTGTATTCGGAGAAGGACGTCGTTGAAAAAACCCTATTTTGCAGTATATTTGAGCCTTGGTTCTGCTTCTGCAACTGTTTTAGGGCCAACCTTCTCTTTTGAAATATTACGTGTGCCGTACCCACACCATTTGCACGGGGACCCACACGTTGCCCGTAGACCGCCTACTGTAGTCAGCTTTACGCAATGGCACACAAATTTGTCCAAATACCCCTACCATGCATTATTCATCGTCACATTCCCTCCCAACCCCGTAGCTGACTGCTTTTTGGAGCCTTATACATATTTATTCGCCTCTTGGGTGACAGTCCTCTTGGAGCAGCAAAAACGGCAGGTCTACCCCTTCTAGCGAAATCTGCCAAGCTCATTGTCAAGGAATGGTGAAAGGTCAGATTTATCAAGTTTCGGTCTCAAAGTAATCAAGCGAAGTTTGACGCTCTATGGCACCGCTATTGAGGAAAAAGCTTCTTTCATGATCCCTCATCTCAGCGCCTGAGGGATGATGCCCGTAGGAAAAAATCCTACAACGGTTAATTTTTTAATTACAGATTTTTTAATTCACAAACAAAAGCTTCCACTGTGAGAAGCCACCTTCACAGGCGTTTGAAATCTTCAAGGCAAAGTACATAAATTGCAAGAGGGGCTCGTTGGGGAAGTCTATTGTGACTGGATCGATCTACAGGTTTTCCCAGATCCTTCACTTTAAACCAAGTAGTTTCCCCCTACAGCATCTCGCGAGCTTACGAGCATCAGCTCTGATAGTCTGTATTTTGTGATTGCTTATTTCGCGTATTGAAAGCACGTCCGATGAAAGATTACGATCAGCCTGCCCATGCTCATTCATTTATAATGTTATTACTATGTATAAATGGCCCCAGAACCTTAGTTCAATCATTTATTTGGTATAATCATCTGAGGAATATCCTAGTAATGTCAAAAAAATAATATATAATACATTAGCGAGGAGATGCCTGCACTGGGTCAATGTTGAAGTCCAGGTATAGGCGGCAGATTTGGATCTGGCAGTCCCGGCATATTCGGCACAAGATCCCCAGGTTGAACTGGTTTGTTATTGTCACCAATCAGATCTGGTAGATTTGGCAGGCCGGGTATCTTCGACGCAAGATCTCCAGGTTGGAGTGGTTTGTTATTGTCGTCATTCGGGACTGGTTGATTTGGGTTTGGAAGTCCAGGTATTCCTGGTATATTCGGCACAAGAGGTCCAGGTTGGACAGGTTTGTTATTGTCGTCATTCGGATCTGGCAGATTTGGCAGGCCTGGTATCTTTGGCGCAAGATCTCCAGGTTGGAGGGGTTTGTTATTGTCGTCTCTCGGATCTGGCAGATTTGGCAGTCCTGGTACCTTCGGCACAAGATCTCCAGGTTGGAGGGGTTTGTTATTGTCGCCATTTGGAGCCGGCTGGTTAGGGTTTGGTGCCGGCTGGTTAGGGTTTGGAACCGGCTGGTTAGGGTTTGGAACCGGCTGGTTTGGGTTTGGAGCCGGCTGGTTAGGGTTTGGTGCCGGCTGGTTAGGGTTTGGTGCCGGCTGGTTTGGGTTTGGAGCCGGCTGGTTAGGGTCTGGTGCCGGCTGGTTTGGATTTGGAGCTGGCTGGTTTGGATTTGGAGCCGGCTGATCTGGCTTCGGCATGGGTACATTCGGCATTGGTACATTCGGCACCATAGGTATATTGGGCACCATAGGTACAGGCACCATTGGGCTCCAAGGAAATCCGAATCCCGGCCAAGGTGCTACAGGCATTGGTGCCATTGGTACAGGTGCTACAGGTGCAGCAGGTACCCAGGGTACATAAGCGCACACCGGCATACATGTGAAACATGCAGCAGGGAAACATTTTGCCTTTCTTGGACCCTTAGGTCCTTTAGTTTGCAGAGGGTCCTCGGGTAGCGACGTGGTTGTTTCGTTTTCGGACTGCAATAGCCCATCACTTTGCGGCGATGTATCAGGTGATATCGTTGTAATTTCCTCGTCCAAAGTTCTTTTGGATGGCGACGTGGTGGCTTCGTCTCCAGTTAGTGAAGGTTCTTCACTTTCTTGCGATGACGACGTGGTAATCTCTTCTTCAGCTTGTGAAAGACGAACACTGGCTTCGCTGGTTGATCCATCATAAATCTGAAATATTACTGAGTTACTTTTTACCTTCTTTCGCTATTCATTGTACTTGTTACCGTCAAAACTCTTTGTCTACCTATGTTGACTATAAAATGGGCAACACCTGGCTCATTTCAGAATGTGTTCAGAAGATATCTAATCTAAAAGGTGGTCTTTCGAGTGAGGGCCTGATTTTCAGGGTAAAAAAGTGACGATTCACTCAAATGAGAGCATTATACTCTGAATTGATAATGTAACAGGTTGCAGGGAGAGAGCCTCAGTCAGCTGAAATGCAGGCTCTATTGTTGCATCTCAGAAACGAATTAGGCATACACAGGGTAGAGGACATGAGGCATCATCAAAATACTACCCCCAAGAAATGGTCTCAGATGCATGGAGGTGAATTTCAGTCGACTTTAGTGGAAGCTGGAGTGGAAGGGGAGAAGGGAATTTTTCCTACACGGCGATTAGCAAAAGGATCGAAGAAAAATATTAAAAGAGAGTAAATACCGCTACTCAAAATTATTGCTCTTTTGACCAGTCTATAGAGAAGCAGTATCTGATCCGAGGTCGGCTACTATGCTTTTCAATCAACATTTAGACGAATAACTACAGACTCACTTTTTCAAAAAACGGTAAGGGAAGCGCAGGTCCCAAAAACAGAGCGATCAAAATGATGCCGGAATGCACCTGAAATGGAAGCGTTTAACAAAATTTCTTGCTACCACTAGAGTTCAAGACAATCCAAAGCCTATATGGAATGCATCCTTCCAACAAGTACACAAAGTAGAATGATAACGATATGCTACAGTCAAGAGCACTCCGAAGACCAGAACGAATGCAAAAGATACTGCTACTGCTGTGTTCCTATATGTATGTACCTTAGCTGTTCGTTTAGCCGATTCATTTCTTCAGAGCCTACTGTACAAAGAGAGAAGTACGGATATATTCAATAATATTTGATCAGCATCACTGGCTTACGGAGTAAAACAACCGTCGGAGTCTGCGAGTCTCAGCACAACGAATATCATTGTCGCATGGTCCTCCTTCCATCTATCTGCATAGGTAGTGCAGTGGCACCATTTTCTCCTGCAGTAGTTGTTCACGATGAATGAGCGTTCCATTCTAGCTTGTCGTCACGTTCCGAGATGATCGGTAATGAATAGTAATATTGGGTAATAGGTTAGTGGAGTATAGGTAAATCTTCCCGGAAATCGCGTCGTGCTCGCCTACTTGCAGTGGAAAGGCGGGGAGAAGTACCGATACTCGGCGGCTTCTGGTTCTGGTAGTCTGCTGCTCTTGTGACATTCAAACTTTTCGAGACGGCTATTCGGCAACAGTCGCTCCTTTTAAGAGTTTCCACGACTATACTCTCTTTACTTAAATGATCATGAATATGGCGACTTTGGCAAAAACGTCAGTCGAGTTTCTATCATGCATGAAATGTTCAACCAAACCGGTAGATTACAAATCACCTTTTTTGCATGGCATACAGCAGTCTTCTGTAGACTACTCATTGTAAACATGCCCTCTGCAGTTTACATTTCACTCATGTCTGGGATTCGCTTTCACAGGAGGCAGATCAACAGTATTGGTTGATTTGACACAGGCACAGTTCACGGTAATTTAGTGTTATCCGAGTTAAGACGAAAAGTGAAAGAAGAGGTGGAGAATAGTGCGATGGAGGCAAAGAAAGCAAAGATTTTATGCGAAGCGATGAAAAGCTCCAAAAAAGTCGTTAAAAAAGAAGCCGGACGAGATTAACCCCCGGAAAAATTAAGTAGAAAAGGTGTTCGTCGAGCTACATATATTAGGTCGATGCATAATTATTGCGGTTTTTTTCCAGCAAATTTTACTTAAAGAAACTATAGAAATACTAAGCAATGACATATTCAAATAATTACTCCGAAACTTAACCACCATCTACGTCAAGCACTGCTTCCCATTGGCTCGAAAGTCGGATTCCAGAAGAGAAGAAGTTTTGATCCTTAGGGGCTATCCACGCCTTGACATCGGCCACCAAGTTATCCAAATCGACGTAACCTCTATTCTCTAGCCATTTTCTCGATGAACGGTTGACGAAATGATCCATAAAAGTTTCTGCTGGTGAATATGCCAGATTTAGGGGCAGATCCCATTTCTTGGTTGGCTCTGGCTGATTGTTCAATCGCCGAAAAGTTACTAAGATCGCGGAATGACTGTGCCACCTTCCAATCTTGCTCGAAGTAGTTAAGCCTAATTACGCGAATATGCGGATGGCTTTTTAAGTACATTTCCGTAGATGGAATCAAGCAGATCTTTCCTGAAAAAACCCAAACTCAATATTCAAATTCTATCGAGAGAAAAAAAAGCGACGAAAAAATCCGCAATAATTATGCATCAACCTAATACAATGTGTGCACTGCGTATGGATGGGTTCTAGTCATATAGAGGACCGAAGCAGCAAAATGAGAATAACAGTAAGAGTAACACATCACCTCACCACCCAGCAACCGGGTGATTGCATGATGGGTCCTGGTACGAATAGCGGAACCTGTAACGCGTGGACACCCGTCTGACATAACATCGGTCGATGAGCGTGGCATCCTAACGAACCGGTAATGGGGTTCTTATAATGCCTTATTTGTTGGCTTTCTCGTCCCGACAGCGTCCTTTGTTTTATCCTTGGGGACATTGGGTAAGGGAGCCTAAAAAGTCACCTTCTTTGTGAAATATTCAAACGAAGAAAAGGAGCTCTTGATGGCTCAAGTGCAGTTCGCAGGGTCCTTGTTACGTGTTGTCTTACCGTTTTGCGTTCAACAGCGCTCCCTGGGCTGTCTTTGTGGGTAACACGTTCTTATTAGGAAAAATTCTAGAATTCTCTTTTATGGTGAACGTGCCATTAGGGCAAGCTCCCTCTCACAGCTTGACCACAATTTTGTCAAATTTCACTAGAATTCTTGTAAGAATTAGAACTTGTGCTGGAGCCCTGTTGATCCAACTCGTCGTCTTTTCAAGGGATGCTATACCCAGTGGAGTAATACCCTATCCTTTTCTTGCCGTACAGGTGTTGTTCCGTTACGTCCACTCAATTCTTTGAAGCTTCCTTTTCTCAGTTGACAGTGTTTGGTTCTCCTAAGCCCATCATCAACTTCTTTCACTAAAGGGTTCCTGTTCTAACTGGAACCTTCAAAACTACAACTGCATAAGTAAATGAAAACACAAGTTCTTGGGCTGGGAATTCGGTTTTTTCAAAGTAAAACTCATGGCTCTCCCAAGTTGTTAACTTTTCGCCGTTATGTAGACGATTGTCAGAGCCTTACTCTGAAGTTTCTCCCATTCATTCCGCTCTTGAACATTGAATTACCCCTATTATCCCCTACGCTTACGATATGCTTGCTCTTCTAGAACTTATGATTACTTACTTATCACGCTGAGGTACCTTTAAGAAAATTTATATCAGAAGTGCCCGCGCTCTTGAATTACGGGGCTACCGTCACGTAAGACTCGGATTCCGAATTTGCGACTGATCGTTTATTTCATAATGTCATTCGGTCAAAGAATATCAAAGAAACATCAATACATACAGAAAAAGATCCCTTTGAAATCCAATCACAACTTGATCCCTCCTCTCACTCCTTTGCCCTTCTCCCAATTGATCCATACGCCTGGTCCAAAGGGTCCAAATGGTGCGATGGCTCCACCTATACCGAATCCTGATCCTGAAGGTGCACTTGGTTGGCCGGGTTGAGGTGCATTATTGGCAGCTCCAACTAACGGTTTAAGTGGAGCTGGTACAAGTGGCTTAATCACATCTGGTACAAGTGGTTTGAGTGGATTAAGTATATCTGGTATACCTGGACCAGGTGCAGGATTAGCAGGTGCAGGCTGTGCAGGTTGTGCAGGTTGTGCAGGCTGTGGAGGAGCTACAGGCATTGGAGGAATTGGGGCAGGCCAGTAAGGTCCAGGCCATGGTCCCATCCACGGTCCAAATGGCGGAGCCCAGGGCCCACCGAATCCTATACCGCCATATACAGAACATACGGGTGCACAAGGAACACATACAGAAGGACCACAGAAGAATTTTGCTTTTTTGGGAGCAGATTCTTCAGATGATGTCGTTGTGGTTTCGTTTTCAGGCAATAGAGACCCTTCAGTTTGTAGCGATGTTTCAGGTAGGGTATGGGTAGTTTCGTCTTCAGATGGGAAGAGTTCCTCTGTTTCAGGTAATGTTGTGCCGGTTTCACTTTCAGATACTAAAGGCGCTTCGATTTGCTGCAATGTTTCAGCTAGCGTTGCGGTAGTTTCGCCTTCGGGTTTTAAAGTCGCTACGACATCCGCTTCGTTGGTTGCTCCCTCACGAACCTGAAATATTACGTAGTTCTTTAATACGGATATCTCACATATTTTTGCTCATTGTCATGTAATTTGTCGTCAATTTAGGTGTCTAATTCGGAAATGCTAGTCCAAAATATTCTTTTTGTTTGATTGAAGCGGCGACTCGTCTCAAATTGGACCTGTCAGATCTATGTGATACCCGTAAAAGTTCATTTTGGTAGGGCTAGAGTTTGAGTAGAAGCATGCTCCTGCACCAGTTACTCAGTTTGAGCGTGAGATGAAAGAAATGGGACATCGTCAAGAAGAAATGGGGCCTTATTAGAGAGCCTTAGCAGTCAGTAAACGATCCTTTTTCAGCAAAGAGGATTCCTGCTAGAGTCAGAAGCGAAAGGGCTGGAGAGAGAAAATCGAAGTACCCATCATGAATCTTGCAGACGGATTAGAGGGGTTGATTCAAAAAGGACCTTAACCTAGGGGAAAATCTTTTTTTGTCCCTTCTCAGCCACCGCACTGATGAACAGTCATAACTTACACTTTCTATGGAATACGGAAACGAAAGCGTAGGTCCTAGGAACGCAGCGATCAGGACGATATCGAGATGCATCTGAAATCAAACCTTCTATCAGTTCTACCTGATGAAAAAGAATTTCAAGAAACCCAGACGTACGAGTTACAGCCCCTGCCAAGTACTCAAATTCGAGCGAGAGATATGGTTACAATCAAAAACAGATTAGAAGGTATGAACCGTAGGCCTGATGTGGCACATGTTGTTATTGTTGTGCCCTTATATCCCTTGGCCTATTGCCCATCCGATTGGTTTCCTCAGTGCATACTGTTCAAAGAGAAAAGGTGTCCCACGAATTTCGACAATATTTAATCAGCAAGGCTAGATTACAGACTGGAACAACGCGAGTGTCGCAGAGTTTCAGCAAACGTCATTGTTTTCATTTGTATGTTCACACAGCGTTTTTTTCTCAATGTACAGTGGGTTTCCATGATGTAATCACATTTTCCATTTGGGATTGTTTTTGAAAATTTAGGTCAACAAGGCTAGATCCCGAATGTCCTAGTTACAGGACGATGTTTTTGTACGAGTTTCATTTGACTGAAGTTTTGGCAGAAATCGCTTTTCACGAAATGTTCTACGAAACGAATTGAAGCTCTCACGCGAGCGAAACTCCAGTGTAAAGGAGATTTTGGTCTTTTGCGAAAAGCAGGCTACGATACGTGGAGAACTACCGGAAATTGCTTTTTTCTAAGGCCATTGGTCTGAGCGTGGAAATTCAACTGTTTGAATTTTCAACACTTATGCTCCATTGTAAATGGTGCACGCTCTGTTGAACCGTTTAAACACGGCCGCTCCTAAGTGTGATTGACAATGGAGACAACCTTTGGATAGGGCTAGTTTACCGTTTCACGCGATTATTATAAGTGTAGGGATTGCTCCTTTGTGTTACTGTTTACCTAGCCGTTGTGGTCTGTTTTTAACACACTTAAGTGCAAACAAGGAAATTTTTGATTACACCCACCAAACTTCAGATGCTCAGAAATGAGTGGGCTCAGAGCACCGATGAGGACAGAAAAATTGGGGCTCTGGCATATCTTCACAAGGCAGCTACGGTAGGTCTCTCAAAGGTTGGTTGGTGTTTTACTCTTATGCCCATCATAAAAGATAAAGTCTTCAATCAATCCCGTCTGGGGAATGCGTCCCGCATTCGACTTCCATTCAGAATCGTGATAGCTTAATGAATGTGCCTGTGGTCTAAACGATGACTTGCGGTAGCCAGCCGATGTACAAGTCGGTGCATTTAGCCTCCCAAATAAGTATGGTAGCGATTATCGTCTCTGAAGGGATGGAAGTCCCGGATGGTTTAGGCAAATACCGATCCGGGATTCGAACCCGTGACCATGCCTGTGGGATTGTGCATCACTTGCCACTACATCACCTCCGCCCCAGGGAGATTATACCTGGGATTATGCGCTTCGGGAGAGAGGTCGAAACGACAATTACAGGAACACAGCCTTCAAAATACTTCGCCTTCCAATATTTCGAAATGTTTAACATCTGGCTGCTCGCTGCTGTGTTGTTATCACTCCTACTGATGGAAAAGACGTCATCGATGACTCATGGGATTCCCTTCCTTCTCTACCCTCTGCTCTAAAGGAGGTTTACTCCAGAAAAGCTTCCTTTCTACGGTTCAACAAAGACACTGGCCAACTACAGCCTTTGTCTGTCGTTGATCAGTGAAGTCGTAAGCGGTTGCAATCAGGGATAGGCATGGCAATCTAAATCGTGGCGACGTTCACCCCTGCTGCTGAACTCGTCCGCCTCCCTGCCAATTTTTGGAGACTCGAAAGAGTCGGCACGTGAGGAGCGGCAAAGTCGGGATTTTACGTAAAACAATTAACACACGCAACAGCAACAATTCAAATAACGGAGGGATAAAAGACTTGGTTGGCCTAGGCGGTTATTGATCTGGGAAGCGAACCCGTAACCATGTCGGATAGTGCACCGCTTGACAATACACCACCTTCGCCCCGAATCCATCATACGTGGGTGGAAGGACATACGGATACGCATTTTCCGACAGCTGACCATGATCAGGTAGCAAGCTGAACCAGTCAAAAAAGTCTGGGTGCCAGGAGGTAGCTCTAAATCTGGTCGACCCATAGGAAGGTGGTCATGACGGACGCAGCAGCCCAGACTAAATGTTGGACGCTCTTCCTATCAACTCTTATTCACATACCAATAAAAATATCATAATAATTGCATATAGAATAGCAAGATTTGCTAGTTTGCTGAATTTTACGGGTATAGGAGAATTCACTTTCACAGTACTCATCATCTTTTTGTCTAAAAATCTGAATGATGACGCCGCTCGTACTGAATTGATTCAGCTAACCAAATAAGGTTAGAATGACGAGGAGACTTATCCTCTTCAAACATAAGAAGGGTTTCGAAAATGAAACGCTGTTGACTACATTATAAAAACCTAAGCGGAGCTGTATTCAATTCGTCGACTTCCGCTTCTACAGCTGCGTCATCCTCTCGGAAGCTTTCAGAGTGCAAAACAAACCCAAATGTCTAGTAATCACATGCAGTGCACTGTTTTCCGTAATTTTTGATTCCAGGCATTGAGGAGGCACTAAAATACAGTAAACCACTACGAGCCAACCCCGATCTGTTGCGAAATTGAACTTTTCAGCAGCTACATTTTGGAAAATGTCAATTTTTAATGTCTGAACGGCGTGTGTCTCCCTTTTGGTCATACCTACGTCGATACGTCAGTAACACCTGACCGGTTTTTCGGAAAGACACCTTCTAAACGTCGATCCGCTATTTGGACATGCCCAAAGGACCAGCCAATGAGTAGTTCACAGAAACCAGTGGTATGACTCTCCAAATTGTCATAAGTCACCTAAAACTTTCAGGCTGTCGGCGTGATTGTAGCTGAATACATTAATGGTCATTGACCGGGGTTTTGCAAAGCCGAATGACATTCTCTACCCCGGAAATTTAGGGACAGAAAGTAACGAAGTTCACGGAAGCAACACCACTTTCAAAGATCTACATATTTCACTTCTACACACACCTTCCTATGATGTCGAAAACGATCCCGACGAGAAGCCATCTTTTATATAACCATGCAGCGATCTTTCTTCCCCGATACTCGCCCTTACTGGCAAACCCTCAACCTGTTGGTTCTGATCCCAGTCGGAGCCAGTCGTGTCAGTAGAAGCCTTGAAACGCTAACCGACCTCCTTATCAGGAAATGTTGACTCCTCCTCCAACCCCTACTCTTCATTCTCGTCATTAGTTACTCGTANGGGGGGGGGGATACTCTGATGTGCTCAGGGCGTATGTGGACTATACAGTATTTTGCGGAGGTCAGGCGATACACAACTCAGTGTTTTCATTCTTCCAGACTACTCTGTTACCGATTAGCTGACCCTTCGGATGGAAAGCCCGATTGGTGGGCACGTATCGGTCTGGGATTCGATCTTCGGATCAGGCTAGTGCGATGGTGCGTCTCTTGCTACTACATGGCCTCGCCCGAGCGCACGTTTAGGCAGTATAAGGGATAAAGAACATGGTGAATAAAAGGCGAGCATCTCTTCTAGGGAATTCATGAACTTGACCGCTAGAGAATCGCATCGGAAACCAAGGGCTAGCTTGAAAGAATTCGTTACTTGAAGCGGTATCTGTGGCAAAGTGACCATAACTTTTCCTAGTGGTTCCTGTGAAAATATAAATCTTAAATGTATCTGGGCTAACAGGACCATTTATAACCCCATTCATATCCTGAAAGCCTCAAGAACCGATCGTAATCATGTAGGCTTGCGAGTGAACAATCGCAACCTGCCACATTTGCCTCATCCATCCCGGCTGTTACACTTCCCGCGAGCCCCTGGATTGTAACGCATGTTCCAGCGGCTGACCATCGCACTTGTTTTATTTATGAGGTACTATTACATATTTTTTTCTATTCTTACACTTCTCACAGTCCGTGAAAACTACTCTTTATCTTTGCTATGAAGAGTGATGGAGGTTTGTCAATTTCTTTGAGATGCGCCATGAACTAAAATTCTGTCCTCGGTAGCTTAGAGCGATGGTTGGCTTGAACCCTGACTTGCTGAAATTTATTGAGGGACCCTATCAGATATGTACGTACATATGTGTGGACTAATGTCAGATAAAAGTAAAGGCTAGAAAGCTCAGATAATCTCTCTTGAACGCAGTCCAGGTACCACGCAAGCTCTCTTACGACCTGTTCCACTCCCCACTTTCAAAAAAAAGTCGAGGCGAGGCTCCATCCATATCAGAACAAGAGAGGGGGGCACCGCGTGACCGAGTTATTCTTGATATCTGAAATTCATCGAACATTACCAAACAAGTATGGGACACATCGTTTTGGAGGCTCCCACAAGTTACCACAACCTCCTAATTTTACTATGCTACTCGCTAACTTCCTTGTGCTATACTGAAACACCGTATCAGCTTGCCTGCAGCCTAAGCATGTTTTCAGTGAGTTTTCTGCAGACACACTTCTAGCTCGACATGTGTTTTAGAGTCCTTGGCGCTGATCTTTGCTCTCGGCTTTAAAGTTAGTTCAGAATCACTTAGAACTTCAGATGGGAGCAAACAGTTGTATAAGGCTTCGTGTTATCTGAACCCTTTTATTTCGTATCGGTACAGCAAGTTCAAACCCCGTTACAGCTTGATCACTACGGCGTTGAGGATGGCTGGCGATATTGTCATTACATTTAATGGACTTGGATAGGTAGGAAGACAACTGTCTGCCACCACATGGTACGCGCCAATTTGAAGGCGTAAAATTGAAAGAAATGGGTTTTTAAGTCTGCCAAAGTGTTCATTTTCATTTTCAAACCATGGTTTTACATTCAAGCGTAAAAGGTGTCTGTGTGCAGTTGGCAGTTGTCATGTTCAATGGACAGTACACCGTTATGTTTCAAATGGCTCCGAAGAAATGTTTAAATTACCAAGTCCTTTAGACTCAGCACTGTCATTCGGTTCATTCACAAGTGTTGTGGTGTGCTTTGATGAATATTTTCTTCGGGGCCTGTACTCGTCCCACTCTCACT